ACGTCATAGCCCCAGGGCACGTCGCGCATACTGCAGGGGTGGAACTTTGGCTGAACCTGCAGCAGCCCTACGGCCACTGTAGGGGAAGGCCCCTCCACTTCATGCCACGACATGCCTTTGTCTTGTATGCGCCCCCCCGCCTTTTGGTTGTCAGGGTGCAGGCGCCAGGCCTAGAGCTGGTCATTTGTGTCGCACATGCTATGCGCTCGGGGCGCAAGGCCGCAGAGAGGACCCAGTTTTGGGAAACCCTTGATGAGCAGACCTCGAAGTGGGGAGTGCAGCTCTTGCTCATAGATGCTAACGCGCGTCTGGGAGTACCTCCACCGATCAAGTAGGACAGGCAGGCTTTGTTCAGGGCGAGGACCCCCAAGGGGAGCGATTCCGCCAGTCACTTGATGAAAGCGATTTGTGTGCGGTCAACACTTTAGCAGGACAGTCAGACGATTCCGCATTTGTTAGCACACAGGGGGTTAGGCACAGGATTGATTACGTCTGTGCTGCGCCGTGACTTGCGTCAGTCGCCACAGAAGTAGGAGTTTGGAAAGACTTGGATAATTTCTCCAAGCAGAGGGGCCACATTCCTGCCCTCAGCACCTTTCAGTACACACATACCTCGAATAAGAAGACTAGCGCGGGAGCGCGGCTTGACAGCTCCCTTCTCAGAGACCCCCAGAAGGTTGCCCTCTTTCAGGACAAGTCAAAATCCGCCCCCCTGCATCCTTGGGAGGTTCCCGCCTCGGAGCATATGTCACAGGCCGTTCAGCAGGTCAACCAGATTGCCTCCCAGTGCTTTGTTCGCCAAGGCAGTCGACCGAGGCAGCCGTTCATCTCGAACGACAGTCACCAGCTCGTTGTTGCGCGACGAGGTGTCCTCAGGGTCCTTCGGAAAACCGCTGCCCCCTCCCGCCTTCCCCAGGGGGTCCAGGCTGGCGACGTCTTGAGGCACTTTGCGGGGAGGTGGGTCACTGGGGCAGGGGCTACCGGGAGCTTTGTGTCTGCTCGTGGGAAAGTCTTTACCAGCAGGTTGCAGTGCGAGCCAAGCAGTTGCACAGAGGTAGCAGTCACCCAGCTGAGTTCCAGATGGCTCTACGCAGTTTCATTCTTACCTCCAAGTATTTCCTTGCGCGCGGCCTAGAGCCTAGAGAATGACAGGGCGTCTTTTCTTGAGAACACTGCGGGCGAAGCGAAGATCTCAGCAGATGCACGCATGTCTAGGGAGCAGTGGGGCCACTGCAAAACTCTGCTGCGGTTCGGGGGTAGGAATGAGAAACCAATGGCTTTCCCGCACATGTTAGACGACAATGGGGAGGCCATCCCCACGGCCTCAGGAGTTGCCCAGCACATGCAGAAACACTTTGGTGGCATCGAGAAAGGCGAAGCTCTCACAGCTGATGACATCGTGGCTCGCTTTAACGGCAGCGGGGATTCAGATAGTCCAGACAGCGATGCGCCCCCTCCCGTTTGTCTGCCTGCTCCCTTTGTTGCTGGCGATGGTGCGCTGCCGCCGCCGCTACTGCCGCACGACGACGGAAGGGCCGGAGGCGTCCCAGTCTCGAGCGATGATGAGAAGGGCTCTGGTCGGGATGACTGGCTGCGCGCGCGGTTGCGCGATTTCCACCGCCCCAATTTTCCCTCAGAGCTCGCAGACTCTCGTGCGCGGGACTGGGCCGCCTCCCCTACCTGCTGGAGAACTGGAGACTGCCCGTCCATCTCGCTCTACTCAATGTGTTCCTACACATCTCGACATCCGCGTTCTCATGCGCCGTGCGTCACTCAGCGCTGCTGCAGGGCCAGACGGGCTTCGGGACGCCCTAAGTAAGGTGGCACCGGAGGAGATGTCTCGCATATTTCTTCCCCTGCTGTGCAGGGCATCGCTCACAGGAAGAGAACCCCAGGGGTTTAAAGACGGCAGGGTGGCTTGGTTCTATAAAGGAGCCAAGGAAGTTTTTCTCGCCAAGAAACAGAAGAATATCTTGAAAGCGAACACGATTGGAAAACTCTACCATCGTTTTTATTCGTGGGCGAGCTCTCGGCCTCCTCCAGAGTGCTCTCCTTCTGGAGCAGCAAGGCGGCCCCCCCTGGTCGCTCGTGCGAGACGTCCTCGCACATGGTTCGCTTACATTGGTCCGCGGCTGAGATTGTCAAGGCGAGCAGCTCTGCGATCTCCCTTGATCTCTCCAACGCTTTCTACTCGGTTATTCGGCAGTTCGCGCTCTCGCTCCCCAGGGATCGGGGCGACATAGCGCACATTCTTCAGGGGTGCGAGTTACCAGAAGTCTTGGGAAATGCTGCCTTGCTCCAGCTGGAGCACGAGGTTCCGGTTCTTGAGGAGTGTCTTGAGCCCCCCCATCTCCTGGGGCTTCTCCAGGAGAGCCAAACTGGCGCCTTCTGGAAGACGGAGGGGAGTTCTGATTACATTCGGCCGCGCACTGGATCGCGCCCAGGCACTATTCCTGCCACGGATGTGTTCAATCTTGTGTTCAGGAAAGTTCACACCTATGTAGATCAGGCCGTGGTGCGGGAGGATCTTGTCTGGGCGCCCCCCCCTTCGCCCCCTCGGCTTGCTTCTCTCGACGACAGTGCGCAGGCTAGGCCCACCTCTTCCTCTGTCGACGACATGCGCATCGTGAATGCTGCGCTCAGCTCGAACAGGATCACCCCTGTCACTCAGAGGACCTTGGACATTCTATACGAGGCGGTCTGCAGAGTAGGCATGCGGCTCAATCCGGATAAGGCAGTTGCCATGATCAGGTTTCGGCACAAAAGGTCTCGAGCTCAGACTCTCTTGCTGCGTGCTGACGACGAGCCGGCTACCACTTCTCCTAAGTCGGGCATTCGCGTGCGGGTTGTGACCACCCATAAAGTTTTAGGGGTCAGGGTCTCCCAGGACGGCTCCATGGCCCCCGAATTAACCGCCAGGATTGCTGCGGCGAGACAGGCGCTTAGGCCAGTCAAGGCCACAATCAGTCCCCGCGCTGCTCTCTTGGTTCGGGCGAAGGCAATTTTGTCGGAGGCGCTCGCCTCCACTGCGTTGTTCTTTTCTTCGGCTACCTGGGGACATCTCATCTCAAACTTGCAGGGGAAGCTTCGTGCGGCACGCCGGGAGATTTACCGGGTTGCTCTCGATCTTCCCAAGGCGAACAACGCTGAGATGCAGAATTCGTATCTCAACGTGCAGCGTTTGCCTTGGTCGGCTGTCCTGACCCTTTCCAAGTTAAAATACCTGGTGCGCATTGCCAATCCTCAGTCTTGTCCCCCCCTTGTTCGTGTGTTGATTGTCGCCACGTGGGGGGCCCCCAACACCTGGTCCGCCATGTTGGCCTCTGATTTGGACTGGCTCAACGAGCACGCGGGCCCTGCTCACAGACCGGAGGGGGGCCACAGGGAAGGGTGGTTCGACAGGTTGCGTCAAAGCAGGGCCGATTTCAAATCGGCGGTTGCGGTTGCCTCGATGCGTGCGGTGCAACTTTGGCAAGACCGGTGCAAGCAAGACTCGTGGCAACGGCAAATCAAGGAGTGTGTTGAGGGCACGACGCTCGCTTTTGTTCCTCCTCCTCCTTTTGTTCATCGTCTCTCAGGCAGCTCCGTAGTCACAGAGCTAAGGTGCATAAAAACGGAGGGGTTTCGCCTGAGATGCAGGTGGTTGGATCGGTTTGCCATTGGTGCATGACCGACTTTCGTGATAACCCCAGGCCGGTGAAGCATATGCACAGGAAGGGCAAGTGTTGGCAGGGGCTTTGCGAGTGGACCCCCCCCCCCCCCTCGCAAGAGGAAGTCGCCCACCAGGTCGATGAACGGCGGCGCATCCAGCAGTCGAACCGTAGGCGAGGGCTCCAGGATAACTACGCTTCGCTGCCCGCCCGTAAGGTCTACGGGCCTGCGCTGTCGCCTTCCGCTCAGGGACCCCCATGCCCCCGTCCAGGTGCCCATGGTTCCGGGGGGCGCCTTGCCTCCCCCCGCCTCTCTTGCGCGGCCCGCTGCCCCGCCTGCTCAGCGCGCGCGTTATGTTCTTCATCTCCTCTCGGGTCATCGGAGAGAGGGAGACTTTCAGATGCAGTTCGAGAGGCTTCTTGAGCGGTATCCGATGCGCGTGTTTGTCTTGAGTATTGACGTGACTCACAACCCTGTTCAGGGAGACTTGACGCGTCAGAACACTGTGTGCACCTGGTTACACCTTGTCACTCAGGGACACGTTGTGGGCATCTTGGGAGGCCCACCGTGCGAAACTTGGAGCGCAGCGCGGCATTTAGAAGTTGAAGTCACGAACCGCCCTCCGCGTCCTCTTAGGTCGCCTGAGCAATTGTGGGGGCTTTCGTACTTGACCCCCCGCGAGTCTCGACATATTCAGCATGGTGCTCTTCTTGCATCAGGCTTGGAAGCGTAAGGTGCCGTGTGTGATGGAAGATCCCGCCCCGCGCCCCACTGACCCCAGCATCCCTTCGAGCTGGTACGTACGTTCCCGAGCTTGTCTCTCTCGCCAGCGCTGAAGGAGTCCACACTGTGGACATTGATCAGTGCCAATTTGGCAGCACCTCCCTCAAACCCACCCGCCTTCTCGCGGTTCACTGTCCTGCTCTCCGTGGGCTGGTGGAATGCAAGCCGAGGCGGGGAAGGTGTGGGGGGTGCGCTCACGTCAGCCTCCAGGGACTTGGCGACAGGCGCCAGTGGACGACAGCTCAGGCCAAGGTTTACCCCGAGCCTCTGTCCGCCTCTTCCCTCCCCTCTGCACGTGCATGCGTTTCACCTTTTCTGTCTTTTCTCTGCTCTGCTCCATCCATGTATAGGCTACGAACCTAACGCCTTACGACCGACCGACCGACCGACCGAGGCGGAGGAGGAGGAGGAGGAGGAGGAGGAGGAGGAGGAGGAGGAGGAGGAGGAGGAGGAGGAGAGGGAGGAGGGGAGGAGGAGGAGGAGGAGGAGGAGAGGAGGAGAGGAGGAGGAGGAGGAGGAGGAAAACAGGTCCACCCCCCCCGATCCGATTTGAGTCCTCCTTTCTCTTCCCGCCCGCACGGCCGCTCCATACGACCGGGCTGCCCAGATTCACGCTCGGCGCCCCTGCCTAAGAAATCGGGGGCGCACTAGCCCAGGTCAGCGCAAACCCAGGTCAGGCAGGGCCAGGTCGCGAGGCCAAGGCGGCCGCAGATCAGCTCCCAAACCAGGTCCGTGGGGGGCGGGGCAGCGGAGTCGTGGCTCCCAAGCCCGGGTCAGCCAGAGGATCCTGCAGGGGATGCTGCTGACCCCCGTTATAGCGCTGACCCCCGCCGCGTGCGCCCCGGAGATGCCCCCTGCACCGAGCCGCGCGCGAGCCGAGGCTGCCACGAGGCGACGCTCGAGGGCGGGGCCGGCGAAGAGGTCGCAGCTGGAGCAGGAAGTGGACGTGCGGCAGAGCCGGCGGCGCACGCGATGGGGGGCGGCGCGGTGGAGGGCGGCCGTCTGGCGCTGCGAGAGGGGGCGTCCGAGAACGCCTCCTGCCTGCGATGCAGTCAAGCTGCTGCAAGAAGGAGCGCCAGATAGGGAACGAGGGGGGCTTGCCTAGACACGGCGAGCCTCGGACAAGAACAGGCTCCCCGAGCAAAAGCTGAGGAAAGGGCCTAAAGCCAGAGCCCCTTTTCCGAGCCCGACGGAGTCCTTGTTTCAGCGTTTTGACTGTGGTGCAACGACAAATTGCAGCAACAAGAAATTCCACAAACATTCACTCTTGGACGTCCGCGCGGGTTTCCTGGATCAGCGCTGGACCCCCATCCCTGGCACGCGGAGCGCGCCAGGGGCGGCGCCGAAGGCACCACCAGGGGGCTCCAGCGTCGACGCGGGAAATCCGCGCGGAGCTCCACAAGTTTATCTTTACGCAAGTTCCTCTTCCTCGGTGCAAAGAAGCCTCCCGCCTTCGAAGAAGCTCGGGCATTGCTTAGGGGGGGAGGGGGGGGCGATAGATCGGGGAGGGGAGAAACGTGCACCTCTTGTGCCCCAAAGGGGCCCCGAAGGGACCCCCCCTGGGGCCCAAAATGAACATAAACGGTGCACGTGTTCGCTTCCCCCCCCCCCCCCACCACACACACTCATCGCCCCCCATCAATGGGGAAACCAAATGGTGCCGATACTGCTACTCCCGGGACCTCTCCCAGGGTTGATTCTAACCAGGATTTCGAAGCGAATCCAGCGGTGGGGGCCTTTCCGAGGCACGCTTCCTGGCCTGCAGGGCGCCGCCCCCCGCAGTCGCCACCAATCCTGCGCGCCGCCGAGATGGCTTGGATGCTCCCGCCCTCCGTGGGAGCCGTGAGGAGAGACAACGTCGGTCTTCTCGGGGAGCGTGGCACCTGACGCCCGCTTACGGCGATAAGGAGGTTGGCTCAGGATAGCAAAACCAAAAGATACCAACAGATACTGGTGGCATCTGCGGGTTAATCAGAAAGATAACAATGCCGTTGCTCCCCAGACCTCTTCAATGGTACGTTCTGCCCAGAATGTCGGGGCGAGTCCAGGATGCCCAAACAGGCGGCGAAGTCGAGGAAGTGGTAGCGGTAGTGGTACCTCTTCATCCTCTGACTCCAAAGCCGTTGGGGGCGCGTTTCGGCATCGTGCCCGGGGTGGGGTGAGGTGCGGTGGTGGCTGGCTGCGTGAGGTTCGGTGGTGGCCTGGCTCGGGTCCCGCCATGGTCGAGGCACTCCCGTGCGGAGGCTGCTGTAGCGGTATCGGTACATTGTCCTCCTCTGACTCCGAAGACGTTGGGGGCGCACGTAGGTGTCGCGCTCAGGCGGGGAACTGCGATGGTGGCTGGCTGTGTGAAGTGCGGTGGTGGCTTGGATCGGGTCCCGCCCGGGTCGAGGCACTCCCGTGCGGAGGCTGCTGTAGCGGGCTCCGAAGCTGTTGGGAGCGCGTTTCGGCATCGCTCCCAGGGGGGGGCAAGTGCGGTGGTGACCCTCCTCCCCTCCCCATCTCCCCCCCTCCCCCCCTCCCTCCCCGCCTTCCTCCCCACGTCCACCCCCACTTCCTCCCCCCTCCTCCCCACTTCCTCCCCCCCTCCCTCTCTCCTGCAAGTTTCTATGCTTGGCCAAGGAATCCAGAAGGAGCAAAAAGAGCCACCACCACCATAACTCAACAGAACTGTTCCCGAGGGCCTGGTGGTTCCCTTGCTTTCGTTTTAAATTATCATCATCATTATTATTATCATTATTATTACTATTATTATTATTATTATCATTATTATTATTATCATTATTATTATCATTATTATTATTATTATTATTATTATTATTATTATTATTATTATTAGTATTATTATTATTAGCATTATTATTATTATAATTATTATTATTAGTATTATTATTAGTATTACTATTACTATTATTATGGTTTGTTTTAACCTTTGGGAAGCTGTTTCGGCGTTGCGCCCATGGCGGAGAAATGCGGCCGGGCTTTTCAGAACCCCTCAGGCCTTCTGAAAAACTGTCCCTGTGTTTGGAGAAAACTCCGAAACCCTGTCAGAATATCAGAGGATTTCCGGGCCTTCTGAAAAGGCCCGCCCCCTCTGGGCTTGCCGCCGAATGCTGGCCCTCGCGAAGCAAACTCGCGCGATAGACCTCGAGTGACGGCTTCGTCGATATCAGCAGGCTCCTGGCGTCGCGTCTTTTGGGGAACCGGCTGGCCAGCCTAGAGAGCGACCGCACTCTTCCAAAGAGAATGAAATGATGGGGCCCAGTGGCGTGTGCCCCAAAGAGCACTCGGTCAGGAAACGGTGTGAGCCCGTGGGCCCCTCGTGGTTCTGGGGCTTCCGCTGGACAGCAATTTCTAAGCTTGTACGAGCCTGGCATTTGACTTGAGCCGCAACTTCAGCGAAGGCTCTAGCTCCACCCGCCCGCATGATCGTAGCTGTCCGCGAACTTGAACATCGCCTTCGGCATAGGCTTCGCCTGAACCCGAAACCTCCCCAACCACAACAAACCTCCCGAATCAGACGGGCTACTTCGCACAAGCTCGTTCCCCGAGCCTCTCCCCGGGTCCACCGATGCAATTTCTCGCCCAAGGTCCGTCCGGTTTCGAAAGTCCCGGGGCCCAGCAACGGCCCCTGGAGACCGAAACCGATCAACAACAGAAACTGTTCAAACGCAAATCTCTGGAAAGGCGGCCAGAACTGCCGCGGGCATCTACCTCGATCGAGAAAAAGAGAAACAATATAGGACGAGGAGGAAGAAGAGGAGGAAGAGGAAAGAAGGCGAAGAAACCTGTCGCGTCAAATGCCGAAACCATTCGAACGCCCTTGCGTGCGTGCTGCGGGGGGGAGGGAACGCGTTTTGCGTCAAATAATACCATGCGGCCACTCTCGCGCGTCGGCCGCGCGCGCGTCGAACTCTTTCCAAAACCTTCCTCGCCGACGCGAGGACGCCGTCATCGTCGCCGGCGCCATCAGCATCCGCCCCATCACTGGCCGCACCGTCGTCGCTGTCAGCATAATCATCAACATCGCTAGTATTATCATCGCGTCTACCGTTGTCGACGTTGTCATGATACTGCGCCCGCTCAAGTCGACGATTCGCACTGAAGTGCCCGCTGAAATGTGCCGCGCGGTCAGCGTCACCGCGTTCGCGTCGGCCACGCCAATCTAGCTGGCCGCTGCGCGCGCGAGTACGCGCGGGCTAGCGCGGCCGCAGAGACGCAACAGCCAACACCAAACACTCATCGCAATCACCTCCGCATGGCTTTTGCGAACCCAATTGCTGGTGTGTGTGGGATGATTGCGCGAGTAATGGAGTCGACAGCTTCAAGACCGGCAGGGTAAATTCTCCTTGCTATAAAAAGAATCAACTCTCCCCCCCTCGGCTTTATCGGTACACTTTTTTTGTGTTGTAATGTAAATGAAGTTCTGTCCCATCGTCCATCCTAAATATGAACTCAGACCATCCCAACCGAGCCCGAATCGCCCCCCCCGTCACCCTCTGAAAAATTATGCTAAAGGAGTTCCCCACATAAAGAGATTAACGGTTTCGTGGGACCCATTTTCTTGATGCCCTCCTCGCTTTGGCGGGGCCCCGCTGGAAGGGGGGAGGGCTACGAAACCTGGCGAAGAGTAATGCTTTCCGCGACCCTCCTCGTTCAAGCGCGGCCTCTCTGGAGGAGTGGAGGGGGGACACGAAACCGTGTAAACAGCATGTTTTCCGATACCCTCCAGGAAGAGGAGGAGGAGGAGGAGGAGGAGGAGGAGGAGAGGAGGAGGAGGAGGAGGAGGATAAGATGGATGATGGTTTTCGGATACCCTCCTCGCTCAGGCGGGGCTTCCCTGGAGGTGTGGGAGGGGCACGAAACCATGTAAATAGTATGGTTTTGCCTCCCTGGAGGGGTGGGAGGGGCACGAAACCATGTAAATAGTATGGTTTTCGGATACCCTCCTCGCTCAGGCGGGGCCTCCCTGGAGAGGTGGGAGGGGCACGAAACCATGTAAATAGTATGGTTTTCGGATACCCTCCTCGCTCAGGCGGGGCCTCCCTGGAGGGTGGGAGGGGCACGAAACCATGTAAATAGTATGGTTTTCGGATACCCTCCTCGCTCAGGCGGGGCCTCCCTGGAGGGGTGGGAGGGGCACGAAACCATGTAAATAGTATGGTTTTCCGATACCCTCCTCGCTCAGGCGGGGCCTCCCTGGAGGGGTGGGAGGGGCACGAAACCATGTAAATAGTATGGTATTCCGATACCCTCCTCGCTCAGGCGGGGCCTCCCTGGAGGGGTGGGAGGGGCACGAAACCATGTAAATAGTATGGTATTCCGATACCCTCCTCGCTCAGGCGGGGCCTCCCTGGAGGGGTGGGAGGGGCACGATGTAAATAGTATGGGGCACCTCCCTCTGGCGGGGCAGAGGTGGGAGGGGCACGAAACCATGTAAATAGTATGGTTTTCCGATACCCTCCTCGCTCAGGCGGGGCCTCCCTGGAGGGGTGGGAGGGGCACGAAACCATGTAAATAGTATGGTATTCCGATACCCTCCTCGCTCAGGCGGGGCCTCCCTGGAGGGGTGGGAGGGGCACGAAACCATGTAAATAGTATGGTTTTCCGATACCCTCCTCGCTCAGGCGGGGCCTCCCTGGAGGGTGGGAGGGGCACGAAACCATGTAAATAGTATGGTTTCCGATACCCTCCTCGCTCAGGCGGGGCCTCCCTGGAGGGGTGGGAGGGGCACGAAACCATGTAAATAGTATGGTATTCCGATACCCTCCTCGCTCAGGCGGGGCCTCCCTGGAGGGGTGGGAGGGGCACGAAACCATGTAAGTAGTATGGTTTTCGGTATGGAGTGGTATGGAATGGTATGGTAGGTATGGTATGGTACGGTATGGTATGATATGGTATGGTATGGTACTGGAGGTATGGTATGGTATGGTACGGTGTGGCATTGGTGTGCTATGGTATGGTATGCTATGGTACGCCATGGTATGGTATGGTACGGTATGGTACGTATGGTGTGGTATGGTATGGTATGGTATGGTATGGTATGGTATGTATGTGTAGGAACTATGGTATGGTATGGTGTGTGTGGTAGGAATAATATT